TAAAAATAATTTGTATTTTTCAATGGCTAAGGACTAGAAAGAGAAAGAAAGCAAATCCCATTCTGAAAAGGAATGATTTGTATATGAATTTGTTTGGATTTAATTCTCATTAAATATTTTGTTTTAGTTAGTTACATTAATATTTTTATTTTCAAAATATTTCATCAATCGGATCTTAATTGATTTAAAATCACCAAAAGAAACTTATTTTCAATTGGATTTTGTATTCAAATTTGAATCAATTTAATTTATTTAATGACAAAGTTGAATCAATTAATCAGTAATATAATCTTGACTCGGTCCAGCTGAAATCTTTATTAGATCATGTAGAGAATACCCATAGGTGAAGTGAAGAATCTGTTTTTATTAAAAGACTTAGAGGGACAAAGGACCAAAAATGAAATCACGAATTTTTTTATAGGGGCCTAAAATGATTTTCACCACTTTAGCCAAAGGGCCAAAGCCCGATAATAGCCCTGCTGTCGTGATTTAATAGAGTTAGATTTTTTAGAAAATAGTTTCGGCTTAGGGTTAGGGTTAAGTCGGATCAAAAATTTTAAGTAAAGAAGGCTGGGTTGGATCGCATTGGGTGCGGGTGAAAAAACTCCGAAATGATCCGATATAATAATATATATTTTTAAAAAATTGTTATTATTTAATTAAATCTTTATTTTATATCGAATTGGATAGAGTCGGATCAAATTTATACTCTAAAAATTTGTATCAGATCGGAATCGGTTGAATGATATATAATTTTCGGATCAAATCAGGTCACATGGAGAATATATAACTTTCGAGTCAAATCAAATTCGGATAAATAATATATATTTTCAGATCAGATCAAGTTAAACACCAACTCGAACCAACCTAATCCAAACTAATTGGTGAGAGATTGGCAACAACACGGACAAAAGCAGAAAAGAAAACCATTATTCTTGTCCGTAGAAAGTAGATATAATCTGCAAAGATATGTTAGTCCAGATTTAGTCCAGGCCCAAATCTTCAATTTGGGCCATAATCAAATACATGCCAGCCCAAATTTAAATCCAAAAACTAACATGAATATAAAATAGACATAATGATAAAATTAACCCCAATGTTTGTAAAAAATAATCAATTTGATTCCTATTCTTTTTTTAAATATTTTATCCCGTAATATTTGGTCAGAATAACCCATACTGGATAAAAATCATTTGTTGACTAATGGAACATATAATGCTAATGTGGTATTTCCCGACATGTTTAATTGATGTAACATATGTCATGTTATCACCTTAGATGACATGGTGCACACTACATCTCACGTTGGATGATGTGGTGCATACCACATCATCAATTAAAAACATAGATATCACATCAGTAACATGCATTAACTATTACTCAATTATCGGTTTTCATCTAATAAAAGCTATTTTGACCAAATTTTGAAATATTGAAGGTTTATTTTTTTAAAAAAAATCAGTCTAATTATTATAATAATATGGAACCCCCACCAACACAATTTGAAAATGCACATCGAAGACTATATAAAGTGGAAGATAATTATTTTTTTTGTCTTTTTGAATAATTTAGCCAATGTGCATCGGCAAGTCTTTGTTTACAAATGGGAATGATAAGGAAGCAAGTTCCATGCATTGGACAAATCTTTACCTAATGAATTTAATAATACAAATAATTAATAGGAATAAATTCCTTTTTTCTAACCAATAATTAATGTTTATGTTCCAAAAATAGAGACATAAAGCTAAGATTTTCTTTTTAAAAAATGAGTAAATTGTGCAGATAATGCCATGCAGTAAGGTTGATTTGGTGATGATTATCCTAAAGTCTTGATTAACAATCTTAATAAGCTTGCTTGGTCTTAAAGTAAACAGCTAAGTTTTAACAGTTGGGTATTGACATTGTTTTTCCATACTATATAAATATTTATCTCTGAAAAAATTAGTAGTAATCGTATATGCAAAACTCCATATGTAAACTAATTCAAATTATTATTATTATTATATTCAAATACAAATTATTCTGCTTGTTATAGCATATCTAGTCGGTTGGTTAAAATCAGGGACAAACGAGAATTTTATGTTAAAAGTGACGAACTTGAACTTTTTAAATTTCAGGGGTGAATTTAATCTTGTAAAATTTCAGGGTATGAAAATATATTTTTAATAAAAAATATATAGAAAAAATATAAAATTTATGGTAATTTTTAATTTATTAAAACAGTTGATGTTATTATTATTTTTATAACTATTTAAATTGTACTGTCAAATTCATTTAAGAAGTTTATATTAACAGTATACTAAATGCACAAACTTATTTATTATAACAGTCTCAGCATGTCAGCTTATAGACTTTTTTTTTTTGAATGATTCAACTTATAGACTTAGATATAAATAATAAGGTGGTTAAATATAACCACTAACAAAACCCTAGATTTACGACATTAATTTAGTCAAGTTAAGACATGTAAAAATACATATAAACTTTAAAAAATTATTGTTTATCAAAAGTCTTACTCAAGTAGCTAGATTTCACCTGCAGAAAATATCAACCTTCAGCTTATATATGCATGCAGATCAAATTATCTAACTAATTTCCACCATTATTTTCTCGAGAAACTTCATGAAATACTGCAGGTTGCAGTTCAAATGCAATGTCATAAAGCCAGGTGTCTTTCCAAGAGATATCATTCTAAAAATATGCCTTCAAATTAATAATAAAAACTTCTCGGATTTGATTGTTGAGTTGTTTTTGATTTGATAGTTTGCAATCATTCTTTTTCTCTTTAATTAACACTCTATTATTGTGAAAAATATGAATGTTTAATAAACCCTTAACCGACTGCTACGTAGAGCATATGTTTTCAAATAAATTAAATTATCCAAGAAAATAAATTAATAATTCATATGGATCATAACAATCCACAAGATTGTGGCAAGGACCATAGCTAGTCCAAATCTGGCATAGGCAATTGCATGTTTTATAAACCCTAAAAGATACTAACCATCACTACAGCAAAATGTAGTGGCGTTTTTAGCGGCGTTTGGAAAGTAAACGTCGCAAAATTTAAACATATAGCGGCGTTTACAATCCAAACGCCACAAAATGATACTTTAGCGGCGTTTCTTAAACAAACGCCGCTATAGAGTAGTACTATAGCGGCATTTTTATATAAACGCCGCAATAGGTACATATGTAATGACGTTTTTCAACAAACGCCACAACAGAGTAGTACTTTAGCGGCGTTTTTATACAAACTCTGCAATAGGTCCATCTATAGTGGCGTTTTTTTTCTAACAAATGCCGCAAAAGATTTATACTTTAACGGCGTTTTTATAAAAATGCCACAATAGAGTTCTTCTATAGTGGCTTTTTTTCTAATAAACGCTGCAACAAATTAGAACTTTAGCGGCGTTTTTACACAAACGTCGCAAAAAATATGTACTTTAGCAGCGTTTTTTAGAAAACGCCGCTATAAAATGATAAAAGGTGGCGTTTGTGTCAACAAACGCCGTAATATTTGATAATTTTAAATGTTCAAATCCCTTTCCCCTTTTGCATCTGTTCCCACGATCCCATTTTCCTCTTACCCATCTCTGTCGAACATAGTATCTGCTATTCACTTATGAAATCCTTTCTTTCTCGCCATTAGATCTATTTTTCAAATCCCTTTCCCATTTTTCATCTTTTCCATCCACGCAAAACTGGTGTTGCTCGTCGCCGGTTGAAGCTGGTGAGGCCTCCAACGTGTCGCTATCAACGCTCGACTCTCTAATTTGAGGTGCGAATAGTATCTGCTTTCACCTTTTTCATCTTTTTTTCTCGTTGTTTAGCTCTGAAAATGCCATTTAAAAGCTTTGTTCGGGAGATTAGAAAGACATCAAAGGAAAAATTAGGGACGAGACATAAGCTTCGACGGGGTCAAGCCCATATTATTCCTGAAGTTTCTCTCTCTTCTTCACCTGGTTCTTCACCTGTACAAATCGAGCACCGTCAATGGGAAAAATTGCCACCGGAATTACTCGTAGATATAATCCAAAGAGTGGAATCAAGGGAACAATGTTGGCCTGGAAGGAGAGATGTGGTTGCTTGTGCTTCAGTTTGTCGCTCATGGAGGGAAATTACAAAACACATTGTTAAGACACCTGAACATTGTGGATTCTTAACTTTTCCAATCTCTTTAAAGCAAGTAAATTTTAATTCTTTTTTCGCCCTTTATTTTTGAAAAACAAAATCGGTTTTTTTAGTGTTTTGTGTGTTGTTTTAAGCCTGGGCCAAGGGATACGCCGATTAAATTCTTTATTAGAAGGGATAGCTCAAGTTCAACATTTCGATTGTATATGGGTCTCAGTCACGTAATTTTTTCTTCTTGAAAATGTGTTTTTTTTGTTCTTTAAACTATCGGTTTTAACCTGTTAATTTGTTCATAAGTGATACTTATTTGTATGTTACGAAATATCCAAAAATCATGAAAATACAGAAGGCACTATGGGTCTGGAGCTTGATTGTGGACAATATAACATCTTTATTGTGTGTATCATGGTCATTCTCTATATCTTGTTTGCCTATGATGTCTGCAAACTGGTAAGTATTTATTACAGAGTTTTGATTTATTCCTTTTATTTTTCTCCTCTATTTGTATGTCTCAACGTTCTTAATTATCATATTCGGATGTCAAATTGGATCTATCGTCACTGATATCTTTGCTTACGTTGATTTTGCCAGTAAATCCTAGTTTGTTTATTTAACGGCATTTGCTTTAGCTTATTTTGTGAACCTGGTGGCTAATTTTCTTGAATTCCTTGAAAATTCGATGTAATTGTTTACTGGAGAAAAGCTAATTTAAAGTATTTCTGATTATAGTACATTTTATTCTTGTTCGAGTGAATTTTGATTTGTAAAATTGAAGGAATGATATTTACTTGCTGAGTGTGTCAAATGTGTCCTAGATTTGATTGAAATTATCTACATAAGAGGTTTAAATCTGATATTTTATTCTTGTTTGAGTGAATTTTGATTCGTAGGATGATGATGGAGGAACTGTAAGTGATGACATTGAGAATCTAAGAGGCACAGGGTTTCCAGGGGTTGGTATGTTTTGGTTAAAAGTGCTTGTTTGATTGCTATGTAATTTCATTTGTACAAAATTTCATCCTTTTTTTTTCTCAATTCTGTTATGATTTCCATTGATATACAGCTTCCGTAAGTAATGTTCCTCCAAGGGAACAAGCCAAGTGGAAACGCAAGTAAGATCAACTTACATGATTTGTTTTCCTTTTACTAATATTAGCTTTAAAAAACTGAGAAAGATAAAAAGTTGATGGTTTTTGCCACCTTGATTAGGACAATTGTTATACTTGCATTGACTTTTCTTACAAGTTCACAAGCAATACTTATTGTCTGGTCGAAGATAGCTGAGAAGTATTAGTATAATGTTACCACAGCGAACTTTATGGTGAGTAGAATAGTCATCTTGTGTTATGACTTGACATGGTGCCAATAGGATTGACCTTATAATGTTATTTTGGGAAACAGGTGGAGACTTTGAAATGTGCCTTGTCACTTGCAGCGTTGGCAAGAATATGGAAAAGTGAAGGTGTTACAGATGATAACAGGTAAATCTTACTTGCGATTGCTTATGTCTAATTTTTTCTATTAACATGGAGATGATGAACACACATTTTTCCTTTATTATTGAACCAGGTTGAGTACAACCCTCGATGATGTTATTGTTTATCCTATTCCTGCCTTACTTTATCTTGTCAAGAATTTGCTACAGGTGGATTTTGATTTTTGGTTTCCTTGTGAGTAACTATATCTTGGTCTTATTTTTCAAAATGTAATTGTATGTTCTTTTCAATTTTATGTTTGCAGTATTACATCTTTTCCTATGTTGACGCACCGGGTTATCAAATATTGAAGAATCTGAATATTATCAGTACTGGTGTTTTGTATCGTATCATCCTTAAGAAAAAGTAAGATGCTTACAACCACGCACGTCGATGTTTTCCATAATAGGATTTGATAGATAAAATCTGCTGATTGTTCAGTATAACGTAAGATATAATGGATTTTCATATAAACTGATGATTTATTTGGATATGAAACTAGAGATCGGGTTTGCATTGCCATGGATGGGGCCTTTTCAAGTGGCATGCCAATTGGAGTAAGACCTCATGAAGCAAAATATATGTGCAAGAAATGACAGGACGATACTAGCTCTGCATCATTGTTTTCCTATATAAACTGGATTTATCTCTTTGAATTTAAGCGCCTCATTGTGACAAAGAGTTTTGAAGAATGTGTAAGATTAGAAGCAAAATATCTTAGATATTATTGTTTATTATAGTTAATAATGTTGAACTACATTATATTTTACGTTAATGTAAACTTTGATTTATTATTATGGATTTCATTTTTCTTGTTATGGATTTTAAGTTTGTTGTTATGGATGTCAAGTTTATTGGAAAATGCTACAGGTTAAATTTGGGTAATAAAAGAGTAGAAAATAACATTTGACAAATTAGTTTTAATTTGCAAAATCAATTTCTTTTAGCTATAGAGAGGTAATTAGCGTCGTTTGTATCTTAAAACGCCGCTATAGATATGACCTTTTGCGGCGTTTGTTCTAAAAAATGCCGCTATATACCAGATCTTTTGCGGTGTTTGTGGGAAAAACATCGCTAAATCTCAAGACCTATTGCGGCGTTTGTGGAAAAAACGCCGCTAAATCTCAACACCTATTGCGACGTTTGTGGGGAAAATGCTGCTAAATCTCAACACCTATTGCGGCATTTGTGGGAAAAACGCCGCTAAATCTCAACACCTATTGCGGCGTTTGTTGGAAAAACGCCGGTAAATATCAACACCTATTGCGGCGTTTGTCCAACAAACGCCGCTATATATCGTTACCTATTGCGGCATTTTTTTTTACCAAACGCCGCGAACTTTAGCGACGCTATTTTCAGCAGCGCTTTTTGCGGCATTTGTCATAGCGCCGCAGGTGTTTTTTGCGGCGCTTAAAAACGCCGTTATAGGTAAAAAACGCCGCAAATATACAGTTTTGCTGTAGTGCATGCATGTATGCTACGAGAGCAAAATATAGAAATATTTATATATAATTTAAGTTTCTTTTGGTTCAGTTATTACCGTATAAAAACATAATTATTATAAACTTTAATATAATTTTAAGCCTTTTAGATAGTCTATTTAATTCGATATTATTTCAGTCAACTTAAAACATCGACGGATGATTTGTCGGGAAAACCTTGTGCAGGCAATAAACCTTGAATTCCACACTATTTCATATACAATTAAATACTGCATTTTTTGTGTGTCGTCTTTTTCGAGTTGATCGTCTAAATTTTAAGCTCAAAATACTAATAAATTTATCAAATAATAACTTTAGTTGAAGGATATGAATGGATATTGTTATCGAGGATTGAAGTTTAGGTAGGTTACCCATGATTAAAACAAATACTAAAATAAAAAATATATTGACATTCATGCATTAGAAAATTATTTTACGTAATGATGGTGAGAAAAATATTTTATCGTTCTAACGTTATTACATGGTGAGAAAAACATTGCACAAATAAAGTGCTCTCTGTAGTAAAGGAATCGTTATTATTCTTTGAGAACCCGAGTTCGAGCACTTAGATGTCAAAGGTGTGAATGTTCAATATCGAGAGGTTGAGAGTATTGAGAAAACAGTAGAATATAGATTGGTTTATTGATACTATGAATGTATATATGAGTACAAGATTAGTTCTCCTTGTATACTGCTGCTCTTAACTGCTAATACAACCACCTTAACTGAACAACTAACCAAAACTAACTTGCTAACAACCTTAGCTGTTATAACAGCTTCAACTTCAGAAAGCTTCTAAGTGTACTGCTAATGTACACACTACATTAGTTGATTTAGCACGCTAACATTCCCTCTACTACTTCTTCTTCTTCTCTTCTCACCTTGAACACAGTATTACATTAAGTTCTAAAAACTAATTACAACTAATTTCTAACATTCAACCTTCTTGATAAAAAGATGAACATTTGAATCGAAAGTGCGGATGCTTTCTTCCGTTCACTTGAATCGAAAGTGCCGATACTTCCTTTCGTTCTTCAATCGAAAGTGTTGATGCTTCCTTCCGTTCACTTGAATCGAAAGTGTCGATGCTTTCTTTCGTTCTTCTTATTCATCTTCATTTCTTTCTTCTTCATTGCTCTTTCAATTATACAAGACCAGAAAAAAAATTAATACTACGCTACACCATTTATCCATCAGGAAAATTCCATTGCTCTGCCTATTACTGAATACATCATTAAGCATTCATGGCTTCTTCCAAAAGAAAATATCCATAAGCAAAAAGAAAAGCATTTTGTTTAACCAGAGCCGCCCACCAAACTTAGCCCTCTAAAACGAGCCCTAAAACCTAAAGATTTAAACACCAGTGAAGCCAAATCCCCCAGCCTCTCTAGTGGTAGCATCCAAATCCTCAACTTCCAAAACATCGGGTATAATGATCTCAATAATCAACTGGGCAATTCTATCACCCACTTTCACTTCAACGTCAACATCCGAATAGTTGAACAAAATCACCCCAAGGGGTCCCCTGTAATCTGCATCGATTACTCCAGCTCCCACGTCGATGGAATGCTTCCAAGCCAAACCAGACCTTGGTGCAATGCGACCATAGGTCCCTTCAGGTACTGAAATGCTTAGTTCAGTAGGAATCAATGTTTTTCCTCTAGCAGGCACTTTGGTATCCGTTGCACTTGACAGATCGTAGCCTGCGGCAAGAGCAGAGCCTCTAGACGGCAAAACATCTTTTTCTGAGAGTCTTTTTACTTTCAAGAGCGTGACTGAACCTTGGATAACTTCATGTACTCTGTTTTGACTGAGTTTTTGTACTTTAGGGGATGACTCTTTGATTTCAGGGCTGTTGTTAATCATATCTGATTGGGCCATCGCGAGAGATCTTGAGAACGAATAAAAAAGAAACAAATGATTCCAACAAACTGGTTTAGTTTTTGTATACAGACAGCCTTCCATTTTAAGCGGCGCTGGAAACGGAAGCCGGCGGAAACAGAGGAGGAGGATGCAACGGACAAACAACAAGGTTAGGACCGTTTAGCGAATGATACCATATTGAGAAAAAAGTAGAATATAGACTGGTTTATTGATACTATGAATGTATATATATGTACAAGATTAGTGCTCCTTATATACTACTACTCTTAGCTGCTAATACAACCACCTTAAATGAACAACTAATCAAAACTAACTTGCTAACAACCTTAGCTGTTATAACAACTTCAACTTTAGGAAGCTTCTAAGTGTACTGCTAATGTACACACTACATTAGTTGATTTAGCATGCTAACAGGGAGTTATCTATAAGCAGTTATTGTCTTATATATTGCATATTGAAAAATGTATATGCTGAAAGAATAGACTGAATTCATTGATGAACACACTTGCTAATACACTGTTTTTATAGCTCACAAACCAAGTCTGTTAAGCTAACAAATCTGCTAACAAGCTAACAGCTTTATGGAGCCAAAGCTAACCAATTACTACTAACTATAATAGAGTACAAGCAAGTACACAACAAGTTCTAATTTCTAACATTCTCCATACTTTCTCAACCTTCTTGATGAAAAGATGAACACTTTAATCGAAAGTGTGACGCCTCCTTCTGTTCAACTTGAATCGAAAGGGTCGATGCTTCATTCCGTTCGACTTGAATCGAAAGTGCCGATGCTTCTTTCCGTTCGTCTGGAATCGAAAGTGCCAATGCTTCATTCCGTTCGACTTGAATCAAAAGTGTCGATGCTTCCTTCCGTTCACTTGAATCGAAAGTTCCGATGTTTCCTTTCGTTCTTCTTATTCACCTTCATTTCTTTCTTCTTCATCCTCTTATACAAGGATCCTTGACATACTTTTTTTCCCTAATCAAGAGTTAAGCTACACGAATATATTTTTTCTCCTGTTTGAGCTAACAAAGCCCACATGTTTCAGAATAGTAACAACTAGATATCACGAAAAAGAAAAATAAATTAATACTACGCTACACCATTTACCCATCAGGAACATTCCATTACCTTTCCAATTATACAAGACCAGAAAAGAAGATCCAGAGGAAGTGTCTTCCGGTTTCAGAATCAATTATAAGAGGATGGCGTTCCAAATCGGTTGCGGAAATCATCAATTCCTTTCTCAAATGACTTTGAAAGTTCAGAAATGGAAGTTTTGCAAACATGAGATGCAGTGGCTTGGGCATCTGCCATGAATTCTGCATATGAGGCTTTTATTGCTTTATGGCTGCTATCAATCTTTTTCGATATCTTCTTGTATTCTTTTTCAGCTTCCTCCATTACTTGTTGGCATGTTTATGTCAGGATCTTGAAGCGCTTTTGGAGGCGAGAGTGAGAGGCGTCGAGATCCTTGAGAAACCCAGAGTGAGAGCGATCGATGAGGTTCTGCTTCATATCCTCCAACCGAGAAGATGTAAATTCCTTAAGATCGGAAATGGTGGTTAGAGTTTTGTTGTTAGACGGTGAGGACTGAAGATTGAAGAAAGCGGAAGTTGAATTAGAATGGGAGGCGTTAGCCATATTACTCTTCCTTTTGTTGAAAATGGTTGATTTGGGTGGAGACTGGGTTTCCTCTGGCGTAGTAGATGCCATTGGCGATGGCCATCTTCGAGATCTTCTCCTCTACATTTTTGTTCATGATAACTCCATGCAGCGGAAGAAAAAC